CTCAGATGGACAACCTGTCACCAGCCGCGTGCATCCGCTGACCCACCAGTTGAAATGGACTTGCGACCTGTCCAGGGTGTACCCCACCTTTTGCACAGTGATGGCTGGACATGGGCACCCGAAAAGGAAGAAGAGGGTAAAGGTAATGGATGGATGGATGGATCATCTGATCACCGGCTGTATGTGTCTCTGCACCTGCTGTCATCTGTGTTGAAGGAAGTAGCAGCATCTACAAAAGCCAAAGCGAGCAGCACGTTCAATTAAAATAGCCTTGTTATATATTTTTCCAAATAATTTAGCTCTCAAAATATTTGTGTTCATCTGTATAATAGCTTATCTTTACAGTTGAATTTTTAGGCTATTCATTTTGTTTGTTAATATCCATTTGGTGAAATAAGAAATCTTATATCTTCCTTTCATTATACATTTTTAAAACTATAATTTCAAACAGATTTGCTTACAAAAGCAATAAAAGCTTAATGAAAAGAAAAAAGTTTTTTTTTTTTTTTTCAGGTTCGGTCCTCTAATTACTGTTAATCCGTTGGGTCCGGGTAGAGCTCAAAAAACAAAAAAACTACGAGTTCGGTCTGAGCCATATTTATTAGGCCCGAATGCAACTCTAACTTGAACTCTTTTTGTTTATATGTGTACAAAACCACAATTTCTGTTTGTTTTCTCTCAACAACTTGCATTAAACTTGTTAAAAGTTTTACATTTTTAGAGACAGTCCCCCTGTGTGGATGAAGGTTGTGAGGATGTTCTAAAACCATCTGACCAGCTGTTTTTAGACTCTTAAAGTCCTGCTTAGTGCAGGTTTTGGGACAACGTTGATGGTTCTAGATTGATTAATTAATTTATTTATTACAGAAACAAGATAAAAGCATGTTTTTAGTGATAATTAATATTTTCTCAAAGTTTTTTTCTTCCCCAGGACATTAGTCCACTGAAAGCTGGAAGGTGTCAGTATTACAGCAGTGGCAGCAGCTATGAGAATTTCTTCTCCCCAGTGAGTAAAGATGCAGAAAGGGACTGGTTTTTATGGTCTGAAGATGCTGAAAGCAAATGCTGAACAAGTTAAATTGAAACATGCATACGATGCGTTTTTTTATATTTCATGTCTGTTGTGTCAGACTTCTCTGTGTTCATATCTTTTTCAGGTGACATGTTGGAGTCTAAAGGAGTCATGTACCAT